TCATCCCTTATTTAGTGTTCCATTTTCCAAATCATCTGATTCTTATTTTTCTCTGGCTTCGCTGTACCTATCTATCCAGCTTCACTATCATCCCAGACCTACATCCCTATGACTGCCCACATCTCTATCTTCTCATTAAGTCCTTCAACAGTCCTCCCAGTGACACACACTTTAGTTGGCTGTAGCCCCAAGACTGCTCATATTACCCATATCACAATGACTTAGAGGGCTCTGCTAAAGCCGGATGTGCTCACTGATAGTGAGATAGTTATGCCATCCACGTGGAAGGTGAAAGCGGGCTTTGCTGGCAGGACACAGTCCACATGTGTGCACACAAACAGGCACACACACAGACAGAGTCTAAATGTAGTACATGTTCTGCACAAAATACGTACAATGTCCTGGCCTTACAGCTATTTATAGCATTATGTATAATATGTATATGTGTGTTTATATAAGCAGGGTTAACCAGACTAAGGAGGAAAATGAACTGTTTGTACCCTTAGTTTGACTGTTCTATGTACTTCCATCTTCCTTTCTGGACGACTACTGTAATGAGGGGCTTAATTTGAGTACTACGTCAGCCCTTTCTATTTAGCCTGATGCTGTATGGTAGAGTGGGAGAAATGGAAATGTACAAAACATAATACCTAGCTTTCAGAAGGTTATTTTCTGTTAGGAAAATACAGAAAATAAAGACCTCCTTGGTCTTCTGATTTAGAAAAAACTTTTAAGGCAAGCAAATTTGGGGGTTCTCATTTCAATGAGAGGATTAGAGGTATAGAATAAATGTAAAAAGATTGGTAACTTGCAGGCTGTTAGAGAAAGGTCATCTCAAGGTAGGAGAAGAGTTGAAATTGTTGCCTCAAAGAATAATAAATAATGCAGTTAGACTGCAGGTGGGACCAGGCTCCCAGGTTTCATTTGTATTGTCAGTTTCCACAGAAAAATATAGTTCTTCAGGGTTTTAGCTTTTAATAGTTTAATGTTGTTTCAAAACACAAACAACAGATTATTGCTAGTAAGGTTGAGAGAAGACAGACAATAAAACAATTACAGGGAAAACAGACAACAGCAATTATCATTTAAAGCAGCCAAACAGCTTTGTGAAACTGTTATTGTTGACTGAGGCAGTATGAACTCAAGCATGGAAAAAGAACTAAGTAAAATACACCTGTTTCTTCAGTGATAACATTACACTTTATTTGGCAGTGTACACACAATTTGTCATCAAGTAACAGTCCTGTCAGAGATATTTGTGGCCCAAATGACTATGAAGTCCCTAATTTCTATCATCTAGGGCCTTTTATCCTCTTTGCGGCCTCACTGTGAACAAAGTACATGCTCACCACAGCTTTTTGCTTGGTGGAAAATGGGTGGAAAATGGGTAAATAGTACCATCTCAAGTTTATGATTGAATTTAGCAAAGTCTCAGAATCCTGAGGTCAGCTCAATTTTCACTACCAGGAAAGAAACACAGATTTTACAACTGGTCCAAAATAGACTGACCTCACTGAGGTCATGGTGTCTTTTATGTGTAGAAGTCAATGGCTCTGTCTATGGTGTGATGTTAAGAAACCTAAAAGTTAATTCTGCCCCCCTAGTCAATCCTCCACAGTAACTCAAATTCCCACCATGAGAGGGACTTATTTCAGTAAGTACTATGCTTCTCCAACATATGACACAAGAGAGGTGATATATTATACACATATCACAATCTTGAAAGTGAAAATGTTAATCACTCAGTCATGTGTAATTCTTTGCAACCCCATGAACTGTAGCCTGCCAGGATCCTCTGTCCATGGGATTCTCCAGGCAAGAATACTGGAGTGGGTTGCCATTCCCTTTTCCAGATGATTTTCTGAACTCAGGGATCGAACCTGAGTCTCCTGCATTGACAGCAGACTCTCTACCATCTGAGCCATGAGGGGAGCCTTATTATACTCTTATGTGAGCATTATTGAGTTTATAGAATGGGAGAGTCAGTCACCCAGGAGAACCCCAATGGATAGGGATACAGCGCTCTCATCTAAGCTAAATTATCTACCATATCTGTAACTCAGTTTCCTTATCTGAAAAGAAGGGATCCTTATGTTTATTTATTTATTTTAATTTTATTGGAGTATAGTTGATTTACAATGTCATGTTAGTTTCAGATGTATAGCAGTTATTCAGTTATACATATATTCATTTTCAGATTCTTTCCCTATGTGAGTTATCACAAAATGTTGAATAGAGTTCCCTGTGCTATAGAGTAGCTCCTTGTTGGTTATTTTATATATAATGATGTGTTTTGTTAATCCCAAGCTCCTGATTTATCCCTCCCTCACCATGTTTCCCTGTTGATAACATGTTTGTTTTGATAATGGTAAATCTGATCCTGTTTTGTAAATAAGTACATTTGTCTCTTTTAAAATTAGATTCCATATTTGAATGATATCATATGGTATTTGTCTTTGTCTGACTTACTTCACTTAATGTAATAATCTCTAGGTCCATTCATGTTGCTACAAATGGCATTATTTTAATCTTTTTTATGGATAAATAATAGTCCATTGTATATATGTACCATATTTTCTTTATCTGTCTGTTGATGAACATGTAAGTTGCTTCTATGTCTTAACTATTGTAAATAGTGCTGCAATGAACATTGGGGTGCATGTATATTTTTGAATTATAATATTCTCCAAATATATGCCTAGGAGTGGGATTGCTGGATCATACGGTAGTTCTACTTTTAGTTTTTAAGAAACCTGCATACTGTTCTCCATAGTGTTTGTACCAACTTACGTTCCCACCAACAGTGTGGGAGGGCTCCCTTCTCCCCATACCCTCTCCAGCATTTATTATTTGTAGACTTTTTGATGATGCCCATCGCAGATGGTGATTGCAGCCATGAAATTAAAAGATGCTTACTCCTTGGAAGGAAAGTTATGACCAACCTAGATAGCATATTAAAAAGCAGACAAATTACTTTGCCAACAAAGGTCTGTCTAGTCAAGGCTATGATTTTTCCATATGGTCATGTGTGGATGTGAGAGTTGGACTGTGAAGAAAGCTAAGTGCTGAAAAATTGATGCTTTTGAACTGTGGTGTTGGAGAAGACTCTTTAGAGTCCCTTGGACTACAAGGAGATCCAACCAGTCCATCCTAAAGGAGATCAGTCCTGGATATTCACTGGAAGGACTGATACTGAAGCTGAAACTCCAATACTTTGGCCACCTCATGTGAAGAGTTGACTCATTGGAAAAGACCCTGATGTTGGGAGGGACTGAGGGCAGGAGGAGAAGGGGATGACAGAGGATGAGATGGCTGGATGGCATCACCGACTCGATGGGCATGAGTTTGGGTAAACTCTGGGAGTTGGTGATGGACAGGGAAACCTGGTGTGCTGCGATTCATGGGGTCCCAAAGAGTCAGACATGACTGAGAGACTGAACTGAACTGAACTGATCCTGGCTGGTGTGAGGTGATGTCATTGTAGTTTTGATTTGCATTTCTCTAATAGTTAGTGATGTTGAGCATCTTTTCATGTGCTTTTTGGACATCTATATATCTTCTTTGGAGAAATGTCTATTTAGATCTTCTACCCATACTTTTTTATTGTGTTGCTTGCTTTTTTATGTAGAGCTGCATGAGCCTTTTGTGTATTTTGGAAATTAATCTCTTGTTGGTCACTTCATTTGCAAATATTTTCTCCCATTCGATGGGTTGTCTTTTTGGTCTTTTCTATTGTTTCCTTTGCTGTGCAGAAGCTTTAAAGTTTAATTAGGTCTAATTTGTTTATTTTTCATATTATTTTCTTTGGGGGGTTGATCAAAGAAGATCTTGCTTAGGTTTATGCCACAGTAGTCTCCCTATGTTTTTCTCTAAAAGTTTTATACTGTGCAGACTTACATTTAGGTGTTTGATCCATTTTGAGTTTTATTTTTTTATATGGTGTTACTCTAATTTCATTCTTTTACATGTAGCTATCCAGTTTTCCCAGAACATCTTATTGATGATACTGTCTTGTCTCTATTGTATAGTTTTTCTATAGTATATTCTTGCTTTCTTTGTCATACATTAATTGACACTAGGTGCAGGGGCTTATTTCTGAACTTTCTATCCTGTTCTAATGATTTTTATTTCTGTTTTTGTGCCAGTACCATACTGTTTTAATGACTGTAGCTTTTTAGTATAATCTGAAGTCAGGGAGTCTAAGTCCTCCCACTCTGTTTTTCATTGCCAGGATTGTTGTGGCTATTTGGGGTCTTTTGTGTCTCTATGCAAGTTTTTAAATTTTTTGTTCTAGTTCTGTGAAAAATACCATTGGTAATTTGATAGAGATTGCATAGAATCTGTAGATTGTCTTATGTAGTATATTTGCTTGGACGATATTGATTCTTCCAATCCAAGAAAGAAGGGATCCTTTTAAAATGACAATTTTGGCAACATTTTAAAATACTTTAAAATCTAATTGTATTAAAAACAAATAAACTATTGGTATTTTTCTTCTATACTTTGGTTTTATCTTCTAATCCCAATACTCTATCAGGTATTTTTTGAGTGCAATATAATCACCAAGAGGATTGTTAATATTTCTGGGCCCCAACTTCAGGATTACTGAAATAGTAGATATGAGGAGGATCTACATTTCTAACAAGCTTCCAGGAGAAACTAAGGCTGCTAGTCCAGGGACTAGACTTTGAGAACAATTGCTCTAAATATTAAGAATGGATTTCCTGTTTGATACTTCACAGTGCAGCACTGGGGGAAGAAAAAAAGGCCATATTCCCAATTATCCCAGACACTTACATTCTAATTTTTACAAAATTACTCCAGAAACATTTATATATATATATTTTATTTTTGTTTAAAAAGCATTATTGTTTCCATTTGATCCAAGGCTTGAGAAAGAGCTCCAAGGTGTTATAAAGCTGCCTAGTGGTTGCAGAGAGGGGCTTCAGGCAGCCCTGATGTTAGGGGGTTACTCAATGGCCCCTGGTCTTCAGAGGCTCCTAGTTATACTTAATGGTGAGCCTTTAGTGAGGTATTTGTCCAACCCAGCCTGGGGACCAGCCACCCTGCAGAGGTTTGTCAGGTTGTCACCCATCTTCTTGATGAGTTTTACCTCCTCATCTAGGAAGTGGTTCTCCAGGAAGTCACAGATGTGGGGGTCTGCATGGGTAGAACCTAGGGCATGCAGATCCAGAAGAGTCTGGCTCAGGTTCTTCTCTATGAGAAGGGTGGCTTCCATAGCATCCTGGGTTTTACCCACTCATCTTGAGATGGCTTCTGCATGTCCAGGAAGAGGGCACAGCTACCATTCTGGCTTTGCATTTTCAAGAGACTCTGTACTCTTGCGCTTCTTCTTGGCCAATTCCCCAAAAAAGTGGCCCACATACTCCAGAGCCACATTGTCATGCTCAAAATAGAAGCCCAGAGAGAGGTAGGTATAGGAAGCCCCAGATGCATGTTAAGCAGGTGGTTGATGGTGGCCTCCATCTTGGTGGAATAATTCTGACGAATCTGGGAGCTCATGTTTGATGATAATAAGGAGTTAAGCTCAAAAAATGGTGGCTGGTTCTGGTGATCCTGGACAGTTGAGTGGCTGATTCTGAAGGTTGTGACTGGAGAAAATGTTGGAGGGTGGCCCGAGGCTAGAGCAAGGGGTCTCCCTGTGTCTGTTCCATCCAAGCACTATTGAAGCAAAAGACCTATCCAAGGGACTGCCAAGCACACTTTCACTCCATAAACTTTTCACATATCAGCAAAGTCCAGGGTAATTTATCAGCAGGAATGGTGCCCAGTCATAAATCTATCCTAGGGAGCCTGGGCCACAGAGCTGACTAGAGGTTATATGTACTGATTTTTCATAGTGATTATTGTGAAAGAGGCCCAAAGATTAATTTACAATGCTGTGAAGTCTCCAATCATTCAGGCAGAAGGATTATATAATAAAAAATGCCACAAATAGGTTCATTATTCACTCATGCATTCCTTCCTCAAAACCTTTTTGAACACCTACTTTGGGCCAAGTATTAAAATAGATACTAGGGGAAACTGAAAATCTTTCAATCTAATTTGAGAGGAAAGTCAAATAATTACAAAACAAAGTTGGTAAAATAATAAACATTTATATATTAAAGTATATAAAGCATTTTCATATTTTATCTCTTGTGATCCTCTGTGGATATCTGGGAGGTAAGTAATATTCCTGACTTTTGTGAAATTAGGAACTCAAGGCTCTAAAACAGTAAGTGGCTTTTTCATTGTCACTTGACTGCTAAGGTAGAGTCAGTGTGCAACCAAGATCTCAAGATCCTAAAGACCATAGTCTTTGCCTGGCACTGCACCAAAGTTCAGATCCTACAAGACACATCACAAGTGTTCTAGAGAACTGAAGATGAGGATTCCTTCCTCCGAGGAGTCTGACCTGTGGGAGAAATCAAAGTCAGTGATTATGGGAATTGATAGAAGAAAACCTCCATGGCCAGAAAAGAAATGGCTGAAACGTTCCCTTTTACAGTTCTTTGAGCCATGTTTCTTGATCAAATATTACATAAAGTTTTTTCTTGCAAATTCCCTAAGTATTTTAGTTCATAAAATTCATTCAACTGTGTCACCAACATTTTTTGCCAGTTATATTATTTTCAGCATAATACAGAGAGAATCAGAGATTAAATCCACTGCATCATGTTACAGAGTCCAAACTCACTCTGATCACCACATGACAGGCCAATAAATCCAAGAGACAAGGTACTGAGGCAAGGAATAAGACTCTATTTGGAGAGCCAGCAGACTGGGAAGATGGCAGACTAATGTCTCAAATTAACCATCTTATCAGGGTCTGAATGCCACCAGTTTCTTTTACTAATCAGAGATGGAGGAAGTGAGGAAACAAAGTAAAAAGGCCATCGATCTTGCAAATATCTCCTAGAATGGCAAGCCTCAGGCAGGGCACGTGCCAAATTCTTCCTTCCTGCCATCTTCAGGTGGACAGGGTCCTGAACAAAAGCACTTTAGTTTAATAGTCAGGAAGAGGGTCAGGATTCTTTGAGGCAGGCCATTATGTATGATTATAATAACAAAAGCAAGTCAAAGAAATGGTTCTAATATGGAGTCAGAATTGGCTTTTCCCTACAACAATCAGAGGATTCTGTATAGGAGCTGTACCTTCCTGAACAAAATAAGGAGTGTTTAATAGTACATGCCCCCTCTTTTTCCGACCTTCTAGTCCTTTTCCTATGGAAAAATAAAGTTGCACCTGTTTTCCCCTTGGATGGCATTATCTCATTCCCTCAAAGAGAAAACAAACATTGCCTTAAATGACCCCATGCTACTCTGCCTTTCAATGCAAGGCCACACCTCTGTGGAGTTCCTGAAAATAATGAACCTGATAATCTCTTATGCACGAAGCTGAACAAAAACAAGCATTCTTCTTATTGCCAAGGAGCATTCCTAGGTGAGTGAGACCCTGAGGAAAAAGGCCATTTAGCTGACTTTCACGCTGCTAGGATAACTTTCTGCAACCACCAGGCAGGAAGCCAAGAGTTCTCAAAGGATTACAACTCTGGAACCCAGGTCTTTTCAAACCTGCCTAGTAGAGTAGCCATTTCTCATCACTTGAAGTCCTTTATTTAAATCCAAAGATTATAATACTATAGGATGCTGCAATATCATAGAGTTGATACAGAGGTAGTTAATTATTTATTGACCCAGTAACAAATGTGCTCATGCTTAGTCGTCATGCTTAGTTGCTGAGTCATATCCAACTCTTTGTGACCCTATGGACTTCAGCCCACCAGGCTCCTCTGTTCATGGGGTTTCCCAGGCAAGAATACTGGAGTGGGTTGATATTTCCATCTCCAGGGATCTTCCTGACCCTGGGATTGAACCTGAGTCTACTGCACTGGCAGGCTGATTCCTTACCACTGAGTCACCAGGGAAGCCCTAGTAGAAACTAATTAAGCAAACAAAACTGGCTAATATGGTTATCCTCATTTTATAGCTGAAGAAAAATATCTAGGAAGATTAAGGTGCATGTTAAAATGATTTATTGAGGAGTTAAATGCAGACTAGAGATGTTTCAGTTAAGGAGGAAGAAGAGGAAGACAAGTTGAGTGGTGAAACAACAGAACGAGGGCTCTTGGAAAGCTCATTGGTGTCATATATGTTTCAAACTTTTTTCAATGTATTACCAAGCTTAAAAGTGTGAGAAGGAATTTGAAACAGGTAAAATTGCTTTTTTTTCTGAACACCTCTAATAAATTCATTTGAATTAACTTCGCATTGTTTATGCACTAAAATGAGGTAGGATTTCTCTGATTCAACTTTCATTGTTTCTCTCAGACCCTAAGCCAGCTCAGCCTGGGATGGATCTGGAGTTGTTTGGCAGATGCAGGCTCCAGAGAGTTAGAAACTGGAGTAAATAAAGAGTAAATGCCAATGGGCTTTAGTTTTCTTATGTCATACTAAAGGAGGAATTTGGACATGTTATTATCCAATAAACTGAGATCTTTATAGCAGTCTTTTTAAAACTATCGAAGATGGTTTCTCATTAAAAGAACACATATATTAGAAGTGGAATATATATTAGAAGTGAACATAGCACTCAAACCAGAGATAAATGTGTGTGTAATAAAGTAGAAATGGATGGATTAATAAGTTTTCTATTTTCCAAGGAATTTCTTGTATTAAACACTGTTGGTTTCTCAGCTCTATAAAGCAAGAATAGCAACTGAAAAGATTTTTGAATGCATCTCTCCTGCTGTGCATTAGTTAACCATTGCTGCCTAACCAATCACCACAAAATTTAGATGTATAAAGCAATGATATTAATTTCTGTGAGTCAGGAATTTGGGATCAGCTTAACTAAGTGTTTGTGGCTTGGTAACTCTCATGAAGTTACTGTCAGATAGTGGCTTGGACTAGGGTCCTCCAAGATTTCTTCATTTTCATATCTGGGGCCTCAGTTCAGAAGAATTGGTCAGGGCCTGGAAGAAATAGGAATCCTTAGGTATCTCTGCGTCTTTGTGGTCCTTCCTCATGTTTCTCTAGTGACTTCGCAGTAGCCAGGACTCTTCCATAGCCTCTCAGGGATACAAAGATGTGTGTCCTGGGTCATATCACATTCTACAAGAAAATCTCAAAAGTCACACAGGAAACCTTCCTCCACATTCTATTGATCAAGGAGAAAAAGGGAACTGATTAACATCTCAGAAAAGTTGTAATATCACATTGGAAGGAGAACCTGTGAAATTTTCCGTCTTTGTAAAATATACACTGCATAAGGATTCTGGTAGATGTATTTTTGATGCATTTGTGGGGGGAGGTGCTCTTCATGTTCTCTTACTCTACCATCTTAATCCCCTAGTGCTACGTATCTTAGTGTGCTAAGTCGGTCTGCACTGCTCATTATATTTATGGTAGTCCCCAGTATATGATACAGGGCTTTATTCAGAGTGTTTGCTTGATAAGTGTCTATGGGCCTAGTCATGATGTGTTCCAGAGGAAAAACAACAGTCACAGCTGGGTTCTAACTCTTACCTGACACAAGTTGTTGTGTGAACAGATCTGACCTCCCTTTGCTCTTACTAATCTGTAACATGAAGATCATGTTAACTTCCCTTTCTATGTCACATATTTTATGAGAATAATCCATGTATTTGCAATCCACACAAATTTAAGAATAAAATAGGAAACCTAAAATGGTAGCTTGTTCCTTGAAAGACACTTGTTCCTTGGAAGAAAAGCCAGTACAAACCTAGACAGCCTATTAAAAAGCACAGACATCATTTTGCTGACAAAGGTCCATATAGTCAAATCTATGGTTTATCCAGTAGTCATGTAGGGATGTGAGAGTTGGACCATAAAGAAGGCTGAGTGCCAAAGAATTGATGCTTTTGAATTGTGGTGTTGGAGAAAACTCTTGAGAGTCCCTTTGATAGCAAGGAGATCAAACAATTCTATCCTAAAAGAAATCAACCCTGAACATTCATTGGAAGGACCGATGCTGAAGCTTAAGCACCAATACTTTGGCCACCTGATGCGAAGAGCCAATTTATTGGGAAAGATCCTGATGCTGGGAAAAATTGAGGGCAGGAGAAGGGATGACAGAGGATGAGATCATTTGATGGTATCACTGACTCAGTGGGCATGAATTTGAACAGATTCCAGGAGATAGTGAAGAACAGGGAAGTCTGGCAAGCTGCAGTCCATAGAGTTGCAAAGAATCAACCATAGCTTAACAACTGA